GTGTATGTGCAGTGATACACAGACATAGATCAACTGATAAATAGACAGACAGCAACAGCTCCAGCCCCGACGCCATCACGCGGGAACGAGTCCGGTCTCCACGAGTTCCTCAACCACCGCCAGGAACCGCGGTCGCATGAACGGGTTGCTGTCGACCAGGTCCAAGGCCTCCTTCCTCAACTCCAAGAAGCATTCGTCGATTTCCTTATCCTTCAGGTCCGAGAGCTCCTCCACATCCTGCGGCTCCAGGAGGATGACGGAAATGAGCATCCTCGTGAAAATTGCTCCGATGACGTTCTTCTGCCGGAACTCCTGCAGGACTTCGCCTTCGCTTAGACGGCCTTCGCTTCCTCCTCGGGTCTCCATGACGGCGTTGAACTGGCCTCGGTACGTCTCCAGGAGGGCGTCCAGGTTGGGCTTCCTGACGTCCCCCGTGAGACTCGTGTACAGGAGGTAGTTGATGTCAGTGGCGAAGGACACGCGTCGACAGATCTGAAGATCGACGAACATCACTGCTTCAGGAGAGCCGTCTGCCCTGTAGCTGTTGAAGGGGAGATCGAAGTATTCATTTCAGGAACTCGTAAGCCATTGACACAAAATTGAACATTCCACACGGAAGCAATACCTCCAAGTCCAGTTATACACAACATTCTGGTACATTGAGAAAAGTTTGATTCTTTGTGGTATTTTCTTGTAGTGATTTTTTTTTTCGGGTTCTGTGTAAATCTGTTGCAGGAAGAGAACCTGTATTTTTTATTGACAATATTACCGTTGTCAGTGCCTCGGAATCTTTTTGATCATTGCCGAGATTTGTCAAATTACCAATGAAATATATCGTAGATTATCATCATTATTGTTATTATCATTGTAATTATTATTATCGTCTATTATTTCTGCATTATTATTTCTATAATTAGCATTATTATCATTATCAATACTATTATTGCTATAATCTTATCATTGTTACAACTAATACTATCATTGTGGTGGTGTAACATTATAGTAGTAGGATAATGATTATTATTACTAGAATCATCATCACATTAATTATTATGTCGTTATGATTATCATTATTTCTCTATACAATAATTATCACCGTAACCTTCTGTTTAACTTTTACTTTAGTTTCATTTTGATAATCTAAATGACAGACAGAGACAGATTACCTGAAGAGGAGGTTGTTATTCCACGCGTCCCCGTGGCATAAAACGTGGTACTTTGTCGGTTCCATTTGCTTCTCGAAAATGTCTTGGAGTTTGGGCTTGAGGCTTTCCGCCCAAGTTGCAGCCGACTCGTATCCGCCGATTTTATCCAGCATGGCTTTGGCACTGTCTATGTGTTGGCCGAGGACGAAGCCGAGGTCGACGGCGCCCTCGAACAGGTGCGCCCAGCCTCTGTTGAGACACGTGCCTCGGAAGTACTGTGGCTCCTTCTTCTCCAGCAGGAGGGAGGCGGCGTGGAGTCTGGCCAGTTCCTCCAACACGAGGGAGACATGGGCGACGTCCAGGCCTTTCCTCCGGTCGAACATCTTGAAGCCTCGAGGCCTCAAATCCTCCAGTAAAACGAGTTCCTTCTTCCTCTCAACGGCGCTGTAGAAACACCTCGGCATGGCTAGGGGCTTCATCCCGGCCTCCTCCAGGACCGCGTTCAGCTGAGGCAGCAGATTCGAGTAGAATTCAGCCTCCTTCAGGAAGAGTTTGCGCGTCACCTCCTCGAACACTTCCCGGTCGTGGCCAGGGTTCCTTTTGAGCGGCGTCCGGCGACCCCGTTCAGGGCGAAGGCGAGTTGCACGCTCGTCACCATCGCGCTGTGGTTGTCGCCCTTGTTGGTGGTCCTCGATCTGCCAGGACGCGAGCTGGGCCTCGGCGCCCTGGTCCGCCTTCAGGGCCTCCGTCACCGCCTGCTCCGTTATGAGGGCATGGCAGGATTTTATTCTTTCTGTTGGTGGAAGAAACGTTCACATAGAAGTTTGGTCTAATCTTACACACACGGTGTGTGTATAATAAATAAATCATAATAAATAAATAAATAAATATATATATATATATATATATGCATACATAATATATATATATATATATATATATATATATATATATATATATATATATATATAATATATATATATATATATATATGTGTGTGTGTGTGTGTGGTGTGTGTGTGTATATATACATGTATATATATACATATATATATATATACATATATACATATATATATATACATATATATATATATACATATTATATATATATATATATATATATATATATATATATATATATATATATATATATATATATATATATAGTGGTTGGGCATCTAAAGAAATTTCGATCCGCTGGGCCTAGCTACGTGTTGTCAGGGCAAGTTCTAAGAACGCTGTTTCCAACTTAGGATTTCCTCACGTGACAGCACGACCTAGATCTGCCCGCCCTCTTCGCGCCGCTCACATGACACGGGCAGAACGTGACTAGCAATCGAGAAGCCTGGCAAAGGTGGCGGAAATATTGGCGGAAATATTGGCATAGTCGTGAAGTGCAAAAAAAGATATTGTAGGTAATGGTAATGGTAGCAAGATTACAAGGGCATGTTACGTTGGAAAATAGTTGTCTTGTCGGTTATGACAATTAACTATCCTTGTTCTAGATTTATTTTTTTATGAATTCTCAAGTTCATTTAGCGTTTGTTTACCACTTGAAGGATTCCTTATAAATTAGTGAAGGTAACTGAATGCTACGAGTAATAGAAAACATTAATCTCGAGGAAAAACATGCATATATACATTTAAATAGACATATTAAGTATATAAACGCTGTATTTACATTACATACACAACGTATAAAGGCAAACCACAGACTCGGAGAACGTTGTCATCTTTCTCAAGGATAAAATACAACAGATGATTAAGTTCGTCGTCTGGACAATATTGCGTCCAATAAAAAAAATAACTTTGGAACGGTTGGCTACCCTGACGCAACTGGGAACGCCCCCTCAATCTGCCGCAGCTGTGTCATGCGTTGTTGCGTATGACACTTGCCTCATTCCCGTGTAGGTATGGTTCTCTTACACTTCCGATGTCAGGATCTGTAGGCCTATCTATCGGCAGTGACATGCTTATAAGATATGACTAACATGCCTTCTCTCACACTTGACACGTGCATCTAGTCATCATCGGCCGTAACATGCTTATAAGAAATGACCCACATGTCACACTTCATCCAGCTTCTAGCCCCGGCCACAGAAAGGGTTTTTGTAGCATGTTCTTTAAGTCTCACTGCCTTTTCCGCCTCGAGAAACACCTTACTATAGTAGGCCTATATACCGCTCATCCGCCAAAGATACCTTATAAAATAAATTCCTTGCTAAATGTTGTGATTTTCAGGAATTCACCCTTGTTGATGACGTGCAATAATAAGCTCTATTACAGCGTGTGGTGTGGTGGGAGTATTGTAAGTGGTTCTGTGTAGGGCTGCGGTGTTCTGTATGTATGTGAGTGGTTGTATCCAGATATCGACAGGGTTTTTAGCTGTACTAACCAGCTTCGTCCACCATTGTCAACTGAAGAACGTTTTAAAGGGACAGCACGATCGTCGCTGTGTTGTTTCCCCTGTAAACCTTCCCTCGGACTAGAAAAAAAATCGTAAACAGCAAAAACCGTTGCCGCGCTTCACTCGAATAGTTGCTCGTTTCTCCAATTTACTCTATTTGAGTGAATTTCCTCGAAGTAACTGGGAGATATATTGCGGTCCTTGCTGGTGAACTTAAATGGGGATCTTTAAATGTAACCAGCTGTGCGATGGGAAAAGCCTTGCACAGTGTATAAATGAGTCTGGTTTTATCTGTACACATGGCATGGAGACTTGAGGTGCCAACTAGTCCCCAAGATACACAGTAATACATTTTCTCTTTGTATAATATGTGTTATTTTATTATTCGTATCATAAACATCACCTGCATTTGCTGTTTTGCATAGCCCACTGATCCCCATTCCATTTCTTGGTTTGCGGCTTTCAAGAGGAATAAAGTAATAAAGCGTTTCAAACCCAAACATCTGATACCCTTGTGTTGGTGTTACCATTTCCTTTTAAAGTGTTATATCACACTTGGGGAAGTATCCTCGTTTTTGTAATGTACAGTAGTTTAGTCGTCTCGTTGAACACCCTTGAGGAATTTCTAGGGAGACAACAGGTCGATAAAAACGCAAACTATTTGGAATTTTAAAATCAGATTCGAAGTCAATTATTGCCTGTTCAATTAACGTGTGTGTGTGTGTGTGTGTGTGTGTGTGTGTGTGTGTTGTGTGTGTGTGTGTGTGTGTGTGTGTGTGTGTGTGTGTGTGTGTGTGTGTGTGTGTGTGTGTGTGTGTGTGTGTGTGTGTGTGTGTGTTGTGTGTGTGGTATGTGTGTGTGTGTGGTGTGTGTGTGTGTGTGAGTATGTGTATGTATGTATGTGTATGTGTGTGTGTGTGTGTGTCACCTAATAATTGACTTTGAAATGAAACGGAATGACATTAAAGAGAAAAAAAATATATATGTGTATGCGTACGTGCGGCATAGACACATTTTCGGGTGTGCAAGTGCTTGTATTTATAACCCACAGCCACATTCCACCAAGGGGAGCCAATGAAATGTGCCTGATCACTTGACAAAGGACTGGACGCGAGGAGGCGGTGTCACGTCTTGACATCGTGGAGTGAATGACTTGACTGAATGACCGAGTGAAAGTGCGTTCTTGTTGCGAAAATGTTTTTTAAATTTGTTTTACTATTTTTTTTTTTTTCTTTTGTATCTTTCAGAATTTACATGTATGCATGTGCACTTGTAAGTATAAGCATATACGATGTACCTATACACGTATACATATACCATCCGCCTTATGGCATAACGTGTCGAAAAAGGCTAATCTGCCAGTCATACAAAGACGAGGTTATATTATACTTTTTTTTCCAGACCGATATTTTTTCAATAGACTTTTATGGACATGGACGCAACTCCTCCCCCTTCCCCTCCCCTCCCCCCCTACACAGCGAAAATTCAAATAAAAACGGCTCCACCTAACTCCTTCCCTCCCCCCCCACCCCCACCCCACCATGACATAGCATATGTAATCGCTACCACGGGGTATGAGTTCGCAGTTGCCTCATGTTATGGCTGATAGATAATAGACAGATAATCAAAAATAGATAATTAAAACTAAGGAGAAATTAGAAATTAGCTTTAACGGCCATAGATTGTTTTTAGGGCGCTGAGACAACCTGCTGCACCCGCGTGTACTTAAGTTAAACCATTACTTGGGTTTTCCCACAAAGTTGACAGGGAGATTCCCTCACACAATCCTTTCTCTCTGGGACGAGTTGTGAAAGGGGTGTTGTGAATGAAGGGAAGGTATTGTGTGGAGGACTGTGATGGACGACAAAATTGATTATGTTTTTTTTTTTACGCACACGCACACACTCATATACACATACAGACACACACACAAAATACATATATGTGTACACACATACACATTTTCTTTCTTTCTCTCTCCCTCTGTCAGGGTTTTGTGTTGCCCTGATTTGGTGGGTGTATGGAGACACAATTCTGGTTCGGCTGTTTATTGATAGAAGTAGACGGTAGGTAGCGTGGCGCGGACTGTGTCTTCTGCTGGTGCAATTGTGGGCAAGGAGAGCCCAAAGGGCACGCCGAGCAGGGCGCGCGTGGGGAGAGCCCCCAAGGGAGGAGGTCTGGTCAGGGCCGTGGGCCCCGGTCAAGTGTGCTCCCTCCCTCTCTTCCTCTCTCCCTCTCTCTTTCCCTCTCCCTCTCTCTCTCCCTCTCCTTCTCTCTCTCCCTCTCCTTCCCCCTTCCCTCACACAAACACATTTTCTCCCTCCCTCCCTCCTCTCTCTCTCTCTCTCTCTCTCTCTCTCTCTCTCTCTCTCTCTCTCTCTCTCTCTCTCTCTCTCTCTCTCTCTCTCTCTCCTCTCTCTCTCTTTCTCTCTCTCTCTCCCTCCCCCTCCCTCTCTGGTTGTGCTTCTAAGAGATATCTAGTACATGAGGTTATGTCATACTTCCTCTCTGAACCTGAATAACTAATGCACCTGTAAGGAAAATCAGAACAGTGTTATTTTACAAGTGCCGGAAGCAAGCAGGACCCCGCTACGCACTCCCTCTGGGCGTGGATGGGCGTGAATGAGGAATTATGGTCCGAGTGACTGGCTACGCCCATAAAATCGCGGTCACGTGGGTCGTTCATCCCCAACAAACCCCAGATAACACGCCTGCACCTCGGCAATGTATGCGGATTCGAGGTCATGGGCTTCGGGCTTCGAATCGCTTTGACGAGTTCACAGGCGACCTACGGGGCTTGTAAGGTGGGCTGAGTGAGAGCAAGAGCAGGCAACCGTAAAATCCTAGCTTCACCCTATATGACTGAGGATACGGTGCAAATGAGAGAGAGCACAGGACAGAGAGATAGTAGAAGACAGAGAGAAAGCACAGGACAGAGAGATAACACAAGACAGAGAGAAAGCACATCACAGAGAGAAAGCACAAGACAGAGAGAAAGCACATGACAGAGAGAAAGCACAGGACAGAGAGATAGCACAAGACAGAGAGAAAGCACAGGACAGAGACACAGAGAGAGATAGCAAGGACAGAGAGAAACACAGGACAGAGAGCACAAGACAGAGAGATAGCAAAGAGAGAGATAGCCAAAGACAGAGAGAGAGCACAAGACAGAGAGATAGCACAAGACAGAGATTGCACAAGACAGAGACATAGCACAAGACAGAGAGAAAGCACAGGACAGAGAGACAGCACAAGACACAGAACAGAAGAGAGATAGCACAGAGACAGAGAGATAGCAAAGACAGACAGAGAGAGACAGAGAGACAGAGACAGAGAGAAAGCACAGAGACAGAGATAGCACAAGACAGAGAGATAGCACAAGAGAGATAGCACAAGACAGAAGAAAGCACAGGACGGAGAGACACGAGACAGAGACATAACACAAGAGAAGCACAGAGAGATAAGCACAAGACAGAGAGATAGCAACAGAAGAGCAGAGCACAGGGCAGAGAGATAGCACAAGACAGAAAGATAGCACATGACAGAGAGATAGCACAGGACAGAGAGATAGCACAAGACAGAGAGATAGCACAAGACAGAGAGATAGCACAAGGCAGAGAGAAAGCACAAGACAGAGAGATAGCACAGGACAGAGAGAAAGCACAGGGCAGAGAGATAGCACAAGACAGAAAGATAGCAGCAGAGAGATAGCACAAGACACAGAGAGATAGCACAAGACAGAGAGAAAGCACAGACAGAGAGATAGCACAGAGAGAAGCAGAGAGAGATAGCACAAGACAGAGAGATAGCACAAGACAGAGAGAAAGCACAAGACAGAGAGATAGCACAAGACAGAGAGATAGCACAAGACAGAGAGATAGCACAAGACAGAGAGATAGCACAAGACAGAGAGAAAGCACAAGACAGAGAGAAAGCACAGGAGAGACCAGGTTAGGGGCAGCTTATTCGAATGGCGAGCCCCACTAGGGATTAAGGCAATGAATATAACATGAGGCCATATTATAAAAGATTATAAGCCGTAGATTCGTCTTGAAAGAAGTGGTCAATCAACGCCCCCATTTGCAATCCTTCACTAACTACTACACCCAGGTTGCTAAGAATATCCTTGGACGGCCCCAGGACACGAGGAGCAAGAAAATGTCATTCCATATAAAAAATAAAAAATAAAAAATGCACTACTGTATAATAATCAATATGGTACCAATATGTTTTTTTTTTTTTTTTTTTTTTTAAATCAAATAGGAGGTTCTGTGCACCTAAATCGTTCTCAACTGCCTGTGTATTTCAGATGAAGTGAAGGTGACTTGCATTAGTTTCTTTCCAGTCATAACGTTTCATTTTAATGCTCCAACCCCCCCCCCCAAAGAAAAAAAAAAAAGACTAGAGAAAGAGAGAGAGAGAGATAATAGAGGAGATAGATATATATATATATATATATCGATAGCAGATAGACATAGACCAGCTTTAGACCACGCCTTGAAAGTAACTGACATGTCGGATGAAGTGAGGTAGTCCAGTGATAATATTTCTAGTGTAATCTAGT